TAGCACTCACGGCGAGGGAGCAAAGAACACTGTGTTGATCTTCATGATTATGGATTGAGAACAGAAATCATTAAAGTAATAAATTATTTGGTACCTGTAGGGAAGGTCTGTGATTTGAGTCCCCCCTTCGGCTGGGAATCTGGATTCATTATCGCAACATGTAAAATGAATGAATAATTATTATTGATATAACAATTTCGATTTTTAGATATCAATAAATACCTTAGGAATTTCATGATATTAATAGCATGCATGTATTGACATAAAAAGTCGAATTAAGTTATCATGAACATTTTTCATCACAAAAGAAGGTTCATGGTTTTGATAGTAAAAATAAATCAAATCATTTTCGAATAAGACAAAAAAACATTGAAAAAATATTGACTGCACACGTCTAATGTGATTATGGTGTACGTAATTATGGGTTATGGCTTACGGCCCCTTGTCAAAACATTGCAAAGTGAAAACACCCTCCGAAGATTGTCGGAAACAGGTCCCTATAAACATATATAAATAAATACCACTGAGCATTAGTTAGCACCAGCCACTTTTTCAGATATGTGCTACATTAATGAATACCTGGTGTGATTCATTGATGGAAACAAGAAATAGAAAGTAGTAAACTGACAATCAGAATGCCAGGTATGACTATCACACCGATAATTAAGCTGACACTAGCAAGCGGTAACGTTTGATTGGCGTTATGCGAAGAAATCTAGAAACGTTCCTTTTAACAATGCTGAAAAATATCAGCTTTTGTTTAACGCCGCACTCAGCAATATTCCAGCTATATGAGGGCAGTTCGTAAATAATCAAGTCTGTACCAGACAATCCAGTGATAGACATCATGAACATCGATCCATGGAATTGGGATACGATGACATGCCAAGTCAGCAAGTCTGACAACCCGATCCCTTAGTCGCCTCTTACGACAAGCATGGGTTGCTGAGGGCCCATTGTAACCAGGATCTTCACAGGTTTTGCCCTCAGCTCCCACTTTGAATCGGACTGTCACGTTTCGCTGTGAAAAATTATCAGTGTCAACCTGGGAATCACCACTGACGCTGCAATCAGTATCTGGAGAATCAACTCCCCTCCCGGATGACATTCTCCTCATGCTGCTGATTAGTCGTCTGATTTCAACTTTGGGGTGGTGCAATGCATAGGTCAGTTCATTTAAACTGTTGAAAAATGTCCCTGTGACGGATTAGGAACACACTGTGGGACTCGTAATTACCAGTTTACCAATTTGTAAGATATTTAAGAACAATAATATGTAGAGACTAGTTAACTTAACAAAAGCAGTGCTCAGTTCAAGCAGTACAAGAAGCGTATCTGTATCCTGAGAGCTGAATTAGATCATTCTAGGATGACTACACAGCTTACCTCACTCTCACAAACTTATGTCATCTCAACCATCCCAAGCAAAACACTTCTGCCTCGTGGGATTTGCCTGACCTCAAAACCAACAATCAACATGCGGGAGTTAAAAGTTAACGTCGCATCAGCACTATTTGAACCATATAGAGACGAGAACAATATCAACAAGCATTCTATAAATTATTTACAATCCGCACGGGCTATAAGCCAACAACAACCAAAGCTAGGTCACCTCACTGGGGATGATGAGGACTTGTGGTGCAGCAGGATTTACATCACCAATCATCTTGAAGGTAAGTTTAGTTCATTGATGTTTATTTAGTGAATAAAGTGTTAATAACCCTTCAATATATAACATGAATTAACAATTTACACTGAATTATTAACCCTGTATTTACTATTTCTGAGGTTGGCATTGGAGTATTCATCATAAGGTCGGACGTAAGCCCCCTGACATCTGAGTGAGTGAGTGAGTGAGTGAGTGAGTATGGTTTCACACATTGTACCCATGTCGGGAATCGAACCCGGGTTTTCGGCGTGACGAGCGAACGCTTTAACCACTAGGCTACCCGACCGCCCCTCACTGACATCTGAAGATTCACCCCGGCCAGTTACTGCCCCTGTCACTATGCCTTGTCAAGGAGGGCCAGCTTTGAACGCATTTTCAAATGATGGCCGCCATCTTCCATCCATCTGACCGCCTCTGTGGTCTAGTGGTAGAGCGTCCGCCCGGAGAGCAGAAGGTCCGGGGTTCGATCCCCGGCCGCGTCACACCAAAAGACGTTTAAAGATGGTACTTGTTGTTACCCTGTCTGGCGCTCGGCATTAAGGGGGTAAAATAAGGACTGGTCGGCTCGGAGTCAGTATACTGTGTCTGAGTGGGGTATTCATGTTAAACTGCGGCATCGTATCGCAGTGGACTAGCACTTTAAATCGGCATCAGTCCGGACAAGTACAAGCAGACACACACGCACTTTCGTGCATCCACATCGCTATATAATCTTTGACGCGACGTTAAACCCCATTTCACCTCACCTTCCATGCATCTGTGTTCGAGGTCTGACAAACAACGTACGACAACGACGACTCAGTCGATGCTCAAATATCCACGGACTTCTGAGGACATGAATTCACAGGCAGCTGTAAACTCATCTTCGGAGAAAATGAATTGACTGAAATTCGATTGTAAAAGCACAAGGTATTGTTAATGATTCAGGAGCATATGGTGTATTTATGAATGTGATACTTATAATGAATAATATATAATGTATGCGTTTGTAGGAAGAACCAGGGAACCAAAATGAGAAGATCGATTCTGTAAATATTAATTTTACATGTTCATTGATGTGGGATATTTCATCTTACCTTATGTAGTATTTATGTTGATGTTGATGTACTTGTCAATCAAGGGGTTGTGATCTGACGATTTGGAAGGCCATGGGAGAAGTGTCGTCTTCTCATTTTGAAGATAGTAAACAGTGCCATGTGCAGCATGTGACTTGTCACTATCTGACTGAGAGATGTCCCTCAGATGGCCAACAATGGGAACAATGTGATGTCGTAAAATGTCATCCCTGTAGCAAATAGCTGTTAAATTCCAATTTACGTGCACAAGTTTTGATCTCTTCGTGTGTATAAGGCTCCCCACACCATGACTCTCCACCAAATCGGTCAAGTTTTTGTGACAAAAGTTTTTGTGACAAAAGGCAAAATGGTCATTTGCAAACCTGTAGAGGCGTGGTCGTGGAACCAAAAATCCACTACAAAGCCAAACGCATCGCCAGTATTGCAGATTCCAGAATCAAACGTTGTTGCAGTTTTGAACCCGTCGACATCGATTTAGCCATCTCAACACTTTGCTAAAATAGGGTCTTCAAGTCACCAGCAAATAATTTTGGGCTGTTTGTACCAACGCTATTCTCACCCTGGTACTACAAATTTACACTATCTCACACAGAAATGATTTTACAGTCATGTATGGTTCTTTTAGTGGGTACAAATGTTACAACACAATTTCGGAATCTGCAAGACAATCTGACTGATTTTACAGTTATGAACAGTTGTGCGAGTGAGTGAGTTGTGTTTAACGCCGCTTTTAACAATATTCAAGTTATATCGCGGCGTGTAAGCTAAATGTGCGAGGAAAGCCCCAAGTGATGCAGGTCTTAGACGTTTACCACTTCGGTGAAACCCACGAGCACGGGTATGGTGCTGACAAACCTAGAAACATAATCGGGGCGAACCGGGATTCCAACCCACATCCATAGGTTTCTTGCGTGCTCAAGGGACGCAAGTTATGAATTGTGTATTTTGACATAGTAAAACCCTTTTCATAAACTTAAAGGGGCATTTAGTTGATAGTGTTACAAGCCAACACCATTTCGGAATCCGCAAGACAATCTGCCTGATTTTACAGTTATGACTGGTGTATTTTGACACCCTTTTCATGAACATAAAGGGGCATTTAGTTGATACAAGTGTTACAAGCCAACACCATTTTGGTATCCTCATGACAATCTGACTCTGCCATGTGCAGCTGCGCACTGTTATCAAAATGTCCTCAGCCCCTGTTCATAAACATGTAATGTTTACTTGCATTATTTAATCTATTTTGCAAATCAAGACATGGTTCTCGTAGTTTCTCACACGTGTTCATTTCCAAAAGTATTTGCGGGGATAGCCCTCCTCGTTGAATATAAGCCTCTAAAATGCAACAAAGTGGCCTTCTTACTGCTTTACAATGGAGAGTGTGGTACATATTTTTTGTAACTATTGAGACTTTATTATCAATCAGGAGAACTCCAGTTACCGAAAGATAAACAAATTGATTTAATATTTGAAACTGTCAACCTTAATGCCAAGTAGTATGGCCAAATCATCAGCAGTTTTTCGACTAATGAAAACACAATAAAATATGTTTATAGCTTCACATGGGAGCGCTTCATCTTAAAGACGTTTCACATTTACATGTTAAATATTGCCTCTGTCAACACACTGACGAATGTTTTATGGATGAACTGATGCAATGTTTAAGATGTTAATATAAAACATCAAAACCAGACAACAATCAGTTTTGAGTTTGTAGGTTGTCGTCCATGCCAAACTTATACCATCTTCATACAAGGCTGTCAATATTCCCAAGTCCTAGATGCCAGGAACTACGTTTCGACAAGGGACTTTCTTACTTGTTTACTGTGGAGATTCTGGTACATATGCTTGAAGCAATCGGAACGTTATCCCCGTTATCTGGAAACATCCGAGTAGTGAGATGTCACAGCGTCCTATCTGCTTAACGCAGCCCAGACTTCAACTGGAGGAGTAATCAAGTTGTTCAAAAGACTTAATGAATCGATTTAATAATCGAAAATTTCAACGTTGATGCCAAGCAGTCTGTCGAATAATCAGCAATGCTTTTATTAATGTGAAAATCAATAAAACATGCACATGTCGAAAAATCCAAAGGGTCATTGTTAAGTGTTTACTGGTGAGACTTTGGAGACTGTTGTACGTGTTGTTGTGACCATCGAGGCGTTATAAGCTAATCGATTTCATATTTCAGTGAACGGTGTGTGTACAGAAGCTTCTAGTGGATACTTAACTCATACCATCGCTTACAAAAGTACGCTGTTAAAATGCTCCCATTTTCAAGCTGCCAGGAACTATTCACATGACCGAGAAGCAAGAGCATGGCTGTGTGGGAATATATTCAGTTTTTTCTTATCATAACCTTGTGTTTCAGTTCAGGTTTTCAGTTATGTGATATTCTGACATTTCTTCGTCATGTCAGTTTGGATGGACTGATGTTCAGTGACACCTTCATCACAGAACACAGTGGTACTGACAAGACTACATGCCTGTCGAGGTGTTTCCATGAGTTGCAGTGCAACATGGTGCTGTACAATCCAACGTCTCAAGGATGTCGGTTGTACTATTCATGTCCCATCACTGGGGGTGAAAAAGAGGCAGGCTGGCAGTATTATGCAGGTAAATATCTAGCAACTTATGCCATTCAGTGATATTCTCATAAGTAGTATTTGATGTTTATTTGTTTGGTGTTGAAGGCCGCACTCAGCAATATTCCAGCTATATGATGGCGGTCTGTAGATGATCGAATCTTGACCAGACAATCCAGTGATTGATATTAGGATCCATCTCCACAATTAGGATACGATGACATGATCAACGAAGTCTGCAAGTGATCCCGTGAGTTGCCTCTTACAACAAGCATTCGTTGTTGAAAATTCACAGGGGCAGACAAGCATAGGTCGCTGGAGACCAATTCTGACACGGATCTTCAAGGATGAGTAAAATATGAAAAGAAAACTAGTGTCGCCACTAATAGTCTGTCTTTTGCATGTTCATCATCTAAAAGGCCGATAAGTCTGATATTCTGTCCAAATTGAAAACAGTTTGATTGAGTGAATGAGTATGGTTTTAGAAAAATCCCACCAATATTACGGCGGAGAACATCATACATATGTTTTATGCATTGTATTGATGTGGGGATTTGAACTCGGATCTTCCGCGTGACGGGCAAACACTTTAATCACCAGGCTACCTCACCGCTCTAATAATAATGACCTGCATTGAGCCCGGCTCTTTGCAGAGGAAATTGAATACCTGAGAATAATCAGGTCAGATTATCTGCCAAAACAGATCCCATGGGGCATTAAAAACACAATTGTGATGAACATTATTGTAATAAATCACTGAAAACCGGTGATGACGCCCGGTTTTCGTGAGAAGGAGAAGCATACATGTTCACAACAATGGCACCCCAATTTGTGCAAGAAGTTAAAATGCAATTTTCAATATGGCCGCCATGGCTACTTAATTCTCTTGAAATGCAATTCCGGTGGGGCAGGATGCGCTCTCCTTTATCGTGAACACAAGTACACTCCAGCATACTCTTTCTATACAGATTTCAAAGAGCGTCATAAGACTCTTGCTCAGAAGCTGTTTGATCAAGGCTACGACATATATGGCCTCAGTAAAGTTTTGAAAAATCTTTTGGTAGACATTTGGGAATTGATTTGCCTTTGTGTGTGTGTCGGGTGCAACTGGTGGGGTAGGATACGCACACCTTTTCGCGTACAGCTGGCATCAAACAACGGGCACATCGCACGATTTATTATTATTTGTTACAATTGTAATAGATATTAAGTAAGCAGTTATTTAGTATCCTGTAATCACAATCTTTAATAAAGGTGGAAACAATTGATTATATTCTCCAGAACGGGAGGAGTAATTCCCAAATCGTTTGTCACAATGAGCTGGTGAATCGTTAGGCATCAATGTTCTGTCAATCAGGTGGATTAAAACAAGTCCAAGACAATTCCTACCACAAATGGGTGCATATATTTTTAACGGAAATATTATCTGTTTTGTTAGAATAATATATTCAGTTTTGGTCATGTGATAGAATGAAAAAGCTAATCATTACTAGTATATGAAATGAAAATATTAATATAATGGCTCGTTTGGAATGGTGTTTAGTATCATAATGCAAAGCCGGTTTTAGCCTTTGTATATCAAGACAAGGTTCATTAGCTAATACATACAAACTTTCAACTAGGTAGTTTCTACATGCATCAAGACAATCCCTAAGACCTTGATGGTGAATATGATGTTAAGCTTTTGAATGTAAGATTACGTGATATATGGTGTTAAACTCTTAAATGTAAGATTACAGGTGAGGTGAGGTAAAATTGGGTTTAACGTCGCGTCCAAGATTATTGCACTTATATAGCGACGTGCATGTACGTGTGTGTGTTTGTGTGGCTGCTTGTACTAGTCCGGATTGATGCCGATTTATAGTGCTAGCACACTGAGATACCATGCCGCAGTTTGACATGAATACCCCACTCAGACACAGTATACTGACTCCGAGCCGACCAGTCCTTGTTTTAGCCCCTTAATGCCGAGCGCAAGACAGGGTAACAACAAGTACCATCTTTTAACGTCTTTTGATATGACGCGGTCGGGGATCGAACCCCGGACCTTCCGCTCTCCGGGCGGACGCTCTACCACTAGACCACGGAGGCGGTCTCGTGAACAGTGAAGTGTCTGTTTGGAATAAATGTTGAATCTTATGCTTGTCGTGAAAAGTGAAGTGTCTGTTTGGAATAAATGTTGAATCTTATGCTTGTCGTGAATGGTGAAGTGTCCATGTGGAATACTTGTTGATTCCTATATTTGTTGTGAACAGTGAAGTGTCTGTGTGGAATCATTGTTGACAACATTATGCTTGTGGCTCTTTATAAGTGCAAAGATACATGAAGAAATATGAATAATGCAAGAAAATCTTCTTTTTTTGGGTTAAATTTCATGCATCCCTGTTTACGGTAAAATGGATTGATCCACATGCCAACTTTGTCTAACGAGAAAATACACACATCCCTGACTATATCTGGGTTGTCTAATATCTACTGTTTGGCTGTTTTAAAAGAAATAGAAGAAGCGGGTTGAAACCACCGTGATCCGAAGCCTGCCACTTCCGTGCGATCATGCCTTAAAAGACAAGTGCAGTCGCAGACTATCACGATTTCCTCAACCCCTGTTCCTAACCATGTGATAACTATTTGCATTTTGTTATCTATTAAGACATGTACAAGGATCTCGTAGAATCTCACATGTGTTAATTTTTCAAGTGAATTTTCTGGATATGAGTTTTACTTGTTTTGGTGACATGATTACCAATCAGAACAGTTACTGAAAGACAATCGAATCGATTTAAGATCAAAAGTTCGGTATGACAAACAACAATTATTCCATGAATGACAACTCATTAACACATGTTTATAGTTTCTCTAAAGCATGCTTCATTGTAAGGACTGTTCATCAATAATTTATTGGTCGGTGTGTTCCAGGGGCAATGTTTAAGATGTCCATATGAAGCATGAAAGACAGAGAAATCAAGAGTCGTGATTGTGTAGCTGAAAGTAAAATATACTTTATCAATATTCACACTCAGCGCTCAATACCACACTCCCCAATTTCTCTAGAGGCCAGGAACTACTCCCAGAATCGAGAAACATGAAAATGGCTGAGTGGGAATTTGTTCGTTTTGTTCTCACCATAGCCTGTTCTTACAGTTCAGCTTTTCAGTCATGTGGTAATCTGACATTTCTCCATCATGTTGGTTTGGATTGACACGTGTTTAATGACACCTTCATCACTGAACACAGTGTAACTGACAAGGCTACATGCCTGTCGATGTGTTTCCTTGAGCTGCAGTGCAACATGGCTCTGTACTACCCAACTTCTCAACGATGTCGGTTGTATTACTTATCCGAAATCTCTGCTGGGCATGAAGAGACAGGCTGGCAGTATTATGCAGGTAAACTTCTAACGCACTATGTCATTCACTATGTCATATGAATTACTATATTGCCACCGCCAAGAAGCCATTTTTCTTTTAAATAACGAAGGGAAAGGATCTTCTGATCTGAAACTGAAAGGCCCAGAGAAAACTGGAACGATTGTTTTAATGATGATTGAAATTTAATGAATAAGGACACCGATGTAGGTGACAGTATGCCACCTATATCTGCGCCTACATATGTAGTTCCAAATCTGGTCGTAAATTTGAAAATATGCTCGTTCACCCAATTTATACAAGAGGTTCGAATCCTATTTGGAATATGGCCTTCATGGCTACAAAATGCTCCCAAAATGCAATTCCTTGCCCTGACCATCTCGGAAATTACTGGACCAGGGATGATGAAATACACATGTTTGTTGTACCCCTTGATTTTCATCTGACTTTGTTCCAGAGGTTCAAATCCACATTTATGTATGCCACATTGAAATCTGGGCAATACAAACATTAAAAGAGACTGAGAGAAAAATATCATATTCTCATCTCACGTTTTAACTGTAGGATACAATGAGATCGGAAAAAAAGATAGGAAATGTATGATGTGCAGATATCTCGCTTGATTAAGTATTTATGTTATACCCTACCATATATTAAGCCATTTTATTCGAATAAGACATCTGCATTAAATTAAATTAGCTGAGGTGACTGTATCTCTGTGCTGCTCCGCATAAACGATTTTGAGTTTGACATGTCGCTTCACAGAGCTACGGGCTGTTCCACAGTGTTTCCCTCATAGATCCCAATTCGGGACTTACCACACTAACAACCGTGCCATAATGTAAATTAATCATAATCCCATGAACACTGCATCATGATTTCCTCCCTAAAACACTTGCCTTCAAACAGGTGTACTTATTTTCTTGATTATGCACTAATCGGTTTGGAATCATTGAGAGGGTACGCCTGATTAAAAATCTTTATCAGTATAGTATATCTATTATTGCACGATCTAAAATATAGCTACTCATACTTGAAGCAAGTGCCTCAGGACGTTAATCACATAAATGAAGCATATAGAGGTTGATGCAAATATGAAAACAGCTTCCAACACTATTCTGGATTCCCAATGAACAGCGACAATATTCTGCATATTTGTGACTGCACGGGCATACTTGAGGGCATGCTCCTTATAGAGTAAGTGCATCAGTGATTTTGGTTTTACGCTGCTTATAGGAAGATTCAAGCAATATCAAGTTCGGGGACGTGTTGAATGGGCTTCACGTAATGTACCCATATGGGGAATCGAACCTGGGCCTTCGTCGTGACGAGCAAACGCTTTAACCACTAGCCAGGACATTGTAAAGGTGTTCAATCGGTGACATGTCTGGATATTTGGCTGCCTTAGTCGACTGCAACAAGAGCTCTCTTTGGAGGTGAGTTGTCATCCTGGAACTCAGAGTTCTGACCCACGCGCTCGGCAAATGGGATGACCACTGAATGTAACATTTGGCCCACAGAAAGTTTACCGGTCATGTAACCTTGCCCGATGATCAGTATCATATGTGATGCCAGCTGAGACCATCATGCGACCACAGCTGCACCTACCATGTCTCTTGGATGACTGCCGGGTAGCACCTCTCTCCACGCCGTCTCCAGACATGTTGTCTGTCATCAAGCGTAAAAATACACCGATTGTAACACAAATTGTACTTTACTTCAGCTGTTTATTCAGCATGTACATTTGATTATTTCATCCATCTTGTTTGTATTATGGGCCTAAAGCACTGAATTAAGTCTGCCTTTGTGTCGTAAAAATACCTCGAAAACATGGTGTATCTCAAATGCCTCCTGTTGACGACCTCCCAACTGCAGTACGCACTATTATCTGTGTGCCACAGACAGCGCATTGCTCAGGAAGGGCGTCTTGATATCTGACCCGTTTTGGTGCGTCTATAACGATCCTGTCTGGGAGTCTTTCAAGGCCTTTTTCTACCCATCCTTTACCTGATATTCCATCAGTCAGGATATCACGCTTTTAGATTAGCCAAAGTGACTGTATTCTGTTACTGGTCAGACTCAATCATACCTATTTTTTTATTTGTATTAGTTTTAAAAATATTTTTTAAATTTCTGTCATGTACACTTTTGGAAGCATTTTCCATCTTGAAATGTGTATTGGCACTTGAAAGTAACCATGATGTGTCACCGTTTCACATAATCAATGTGCAACAGCCTGTCCAACAAAGATGGTCATGTCATTCTTATAGATGAAATTGGGTTCCCTTAAATATTGTGACTCGTATACGTTGAGTATCCATTAAAATTGTGTGATCTTAGCTTTGTGTTTAATTCCGTCTGTTCGGGGATTTTAAAACGAGCATCCCCACTATCACCATCATGCAGAGACTATCCAGGACCTTATCACTATGGAATCCCAACAATTACACACAACTGTCACGAAAAACATCCAACTTTATAAAACTTATATAAATGTATGTTTGCTGTTTAACGCTGCGCTCAGCAATATCCCAGCTATATGACGGCGGTCTGTAAATAATCGAGTCTGGACTAGACAATCCAGTGAGTAATACCATGAGCATCACTCCACACAATTAAGATCGGATGACATGCACCAACCAAGCGATCCCGTTAGTCGCCTCTTACGACAAGCATAGTCGCCTTTTACGGCAAGCATTAGCTACTGAAGACCAATTCTACCACGGATCTTCACGGGTCTATATAACTAAGTCAGTTCCATATCTTGCTCTGAACTTCAATGGTTATTCCATGAATAATTAGAATAAGGAGATATCTGTGTTATGTTTAGTTCCCTGCACCGAGTTTCGGGTCCTGAATGCAGTATCGATGCTGGTTAGGAACCAGTCCCACGTTGATGTCACCTGTCCCAGTGGATTCTCCTACCTACCAACCACGTCAGACACATGTTTCCATGACAACGTTCCAGTAAATGTAGGAAGGTGCATGCAGACCCTCTGGGTTGACCAGGTACATAGTAAACCAAACACATTTATGTGTACATCCATCCATACATCTCTTCATGTTTTTCATGTTATAGATTGTAAAACACGTGAGCGATTTGGAAAGACCTATATACTTTACACTCCGTACTTTACAACGGAAGCCCGTATTCACAACGCAACTTTCCCCTCCCCTTTTTGGTTGTAATGCAACATTCACTCTGTACTAATCATCTTGGCGGGGGGGCGTCTGGGATTTTATCGAAAATATTAATTTATCACAGAAAATGCATGAAAATATATAGTAATTCTTCAGTTAGTTGAATAGAAAAAGATTGTCTGCCACAAAAAAATACATTGCTGCAAGGTGTTTTAGAAAAAATTTTTATTTAGAACGCCACGTCTTGCATCCTCTCTTATTGTTATGCAACATTCACATGCTCACTCTCTACTTTTCAACAGGTGCGAGAGTTCAGAACGCCACTTCCTGCTCCCCTGTCCAACGGTTCGGAGATTATCGTGGAGGTAGCCGCGGATGGAGTCGAGACGTAGGCGTTTGTAAAGTTTACAGTAATCAGCATTTGGAAATAGATGCACTTATATTGACGAAGATCGTTCTGGAAGTTGCTATGCCATGGATGAGGAGTGAATATTATTTAACACTGACAAATATCATCCATACCAAGGCAGCTTGTAGGTAATCAGGGCTTATACAAGGCACATCAGAGTCAGGACCCGTGAAGATCCGGGGTAGAATAGGTTTTCAGCAACCCATGCTTGCCGATAAAGGCGACTATGCTTGTCGACTAACGTGATCGGGTGGTCAGGTTCGCTGACTTGGTTGATGCATGTCATCGATCCCTATTGCATGGATCGTTGCTCATGATGTCAATCACTGGATTGTCTGGTCCAGACTCGATTATATTACAAACCGCCGTCATATAGCTGGAATATTGCTTAGTGCGGCGTTAAACAACAAACCAACCAACCAACAAAAAAGCCAAAACATCAGAGTCTGAAAGTTCAGGCAAATTGCTATACTATGGATGAGGAAGCGGGATTGAGTGAATATAATTTAACCCTGCAAACTGTCACCCAAACCAAGACAGCCTGTAAGTAAACGGGACTAACACCAGGCAAATCAGAGACTGAAAGCGTGGAAAGGCCAATCAATCCTTAGAGGCACGATGACACCCAATCACTACAGTGAACAAGCCCGAACACAGCTTCTAACGACTGGAAACCCAGACCCATACAGGTCTACATGCCTAATTTAAGTCTATACAGACAATAGACAGTTTGAATAGAGATATGATTTTTATCGTTGAAGACTTTTCTCTTCAGGCGAAACGGGGTGACGCTGACAGCACATGGTGACAGTACACTGGTGATGGGTTTCTTTGTACGATGGGACGCAGGTGACATCGCCTACAACACTCGGACATCGGGCGCCTGGTCGACGGAGCTGAATCATTCACCCGTTCCGTTCACACCCAACGTGATTTCGAATCTCTCCATTAAAGTCACAGACAATCAGTTTCTGGTATGTTGTTTAGGCAGGTATCGGTTTTGGTAAATGAAGCCGTTGTCCCTTATACTCTGGATGCATCCGTCTGATACTTCAACCGCCTCCGTGGTCTAATGGTAGAGCGTCCGCCCGGAGAGCGGAAGGTCCGGGGTTCGAACCCCAGCCGCGTCATACCAAAAGACGTTAAAAGATGGTACTTGTTGTTACCCTGTCTGGCGCTCGGCATTTAAGGGGTAAAACAAGGACTGGTCGGCTCGGGGTCAGTATATTGTGTCTGAGTGGGGTATTCATGTTAAACTGCGGCATGGTTTCTCAGTGTGCTAGCACTTTAAATTGGCATCAGTCCGGACTGGTACAAGCAGCCACACACACACACATATACACGTGCATGCACGTCGCTATATAAGTGCAAAAATCTTGGACGCGACGTTAGACCCAATTTTACCTCACCTCACCTGATTATACTTCACCAATCCAGTAATTTGTCCAGATCCCTGATGGTCAAGTCCTGACCCGATGCAACGAAAGATTGTAAACACTGAATGTAGAATGTAGAAAGTACCATCAATTACACTAGAATTTAATGTAAAATGGAATTTGTTCTCGTCCATTTCAGATATCTCTTGATGACAACAGTCTGCTTGCTGCTCCAATAAGGATCCCTCCAGATGAGGCCGTCGCCCTTCTTGTTGATTTCAGCCTCATCAAACGAGTGCAGATCAAATATCCATAGTCGAAAATAATATTTTGCTACATTTTGGGACAAAATAATGTATTTCCAAAGCAAAGAAAACCTATTTTGGCGATTTTTCTAAAAGTGAAGTCAGGTTATGTCGTTGACTGATTGTGAGGCTCACTTCGCAATTGTTCAAGAGGTTCGAGGTATGTCACCACAGCCAATACTACGAGGCCTGTGAAGCTGAGGGACCCACATACCGTGTCTCTGACAGATGCTCAGAGACTTCTGATGGTTTTATGTTCTTGGCCTATTACGAACCTATTTACGCATGTATCATTATAGAAATGGATATGCAATAATCTGAATAATATATAGTACGTTTTGGCATATTTTGATAACTGATGAAGCTACGACTGTTGACTTTCATTCCCCCTCTTGCATTTTCGATATCTCATTTGAACTGGGAAACTTGAAACTATCTTCTTGGTACAATTTCCTAATTACGTCTGATTAACACGCTTTGCATGAATCCATTGTGGGTACAACTTACATGTTTGATCCAACTGTTTCGAAAGCATTTCAGCAGAGTTCACAACAGTTTTCTTTATTCATTGTTTCTATTGATTGGTGAATCCGTTATCGCCAGTAGCCGTGTAGGTGAATAAATGTTGCCAATAAGACGTTTCTTTTACGTTTAGTTGTTTAAACATGCGGCCCTCGTGGGGACTCCAGGGCAGAATGTGTCCCTAGCACACCCCTTCAATTGTAAGAAGCGACAAAATAGGGAACCCGTTGCGTGGATCGTTGCTCATAATAGCAATCACAGGATTGTCTGTTCCAGACTCGAATACTTGCAGACCGCCTTCATAGGTCAGTACAAGGTTAAGCAACAAACCAGGCACTGATCTCGATTACAAAAAATTGAGGGTTTTTTTCAATTTTAAAACGTTTATATAATGCTCGAACGGCATGAATAGTACATTCCTATCCACAAGCTCGTATGAGACCTTTGCCTTTTTCAAACCATTGTTTGATCACCTGACTGATATGTTCCCGTGTTGTTTTTTCTCGCGACATTCAAAATATTCTTTGTTCAAAATGTTATGAAATTTGGTTCAAGTTCAGTTTGAAGTGGGCTCAATAAATATGGTATTTTTTTTGTGACATCTATTTTCTTACCTTGATTTGCCCTTTTCATTTTGAGATTTGTTTGTTAAAAAATAATTCCCCCAAATTCTTGAAAAATATAATTATGCTTCACATTGTGGAAAACAGATCGGCCTGCCTAAAGAATTACATTGTTGCAATATGTCATAACCAAAACAATGTGTTTGGTCATAGGTTTAATATAAAACAAATTACACCATATTTGGTCCTGATCATTAGGATTTTAGAAATTATTTTATGGAATGTATTGGATGTATGTACAATGTATGGAGCTAGAAAAACATATTCTCCTTAAAAGTCATGTAAGGTTTTGTGTACATTATTATTTAACTGAGTGTTTCAGTGTTTCTGGTGTATTTATACACAGAATGTAAACAAAAAGAAATGGGTATTACAACCTAGCTCTTCAATGAAGACATTGGTTTCTTACCTGAGAAGATCTGTATAACCTTGCAACAAGTTTGTCAGTAGTTTAGTGCAGAAATCAGCTTGATTGGAGACCTTTGACAACACCCACTGCATATGAACACCCAATGCCATTGAGAAAGTGGTCAAATGTAACGAATGTTATATTTCTGATAACACTTTCTTAGTAAAGTACGGATTCTAGTACTTTTGTGGTTGAGTACCATTTCGGGATTCGAACCCACACTGCCAGAGTGAGGCACCTAGTCGCCATCAAACGAAGTAAGCGATCTTACGCACTCTGCCACCGAGGCTTAAACAAAAAATGAAAGTCTGACAACTGATAGTCACCATCACATACTTTGTGTACCCCTCTGACAATTGTTAATTGTCAAGGCTGCCATGGCTGGTAGCTGTGAACACACACAATGCCACTCTCCTCAAACCATGCATGAATGTTTGGTAATGTATAACCACTGCAAACCTCATTTGTTAAACTATGTTAGTTCATTATATTACACAACTAACGGTGTGAGGTGTGTGAAAAGGCTGGTGTTGGGTGTGATTGATTTGGTTGGGCTTTTCAATATAGGTTTTAAAAGCTTTGAGTGGCTTTTGTTTTATTGTTATTTTTTCTGTGGCCTTTTATGCTTGTTTCAAATATCCACTTTAGAAATAGTAACATGAAAGTCCAATCCGATATGTTAAGACATGGTGTTCAAACTTGCGTACATCCACTTTGTTTCTGCTTATTGATAAAGTTTTGTCACCAATGTAATCTCCGAGTATTGGATATTCTCGGAAACTGTATGACATTTATTGTTATTTATGGCCGGATTTATTACGTCACGTAAGACGGGTACACATGCTTGTGATATTAACAGTGATCATAAGTTTACTACATATGTATGGGATTTTATATCGAGATTAGACATTTTGTTTCCAGCAACGGCTTCAAAACTCCGTATCTTGTTATTTATTTAATACAATGCGCCTGATTTTGTTTCAACAGTCTGAAGCATAATTATTTTTTTCAGTGACTATTAATTTTTTTCGATAAGATCCAAGCTGCCTTAACTAATACTTATTTAGTTGGACACGTGGATGAAGCATGGCAGCAAATGCCAGAGATTGGTTGATAACCTCCAAATTAACCAATGTCTGCTTGAAATTGAATATGGCGCCATGCTGAGCTTCCAACAGTCGGTGTAGTTCTGTTTTCATTGTTTTGTTGTTTTGACGCATTTAGTGGCCAGAATTATGGTTAAAGTGTAAATCTTTAAATATAAAATCACAATCACAACTGGGATCCAGGACACTCCTCGTGATGTACACTGCAACACAAACTCGTGGTTTAGGACCCGTACCTGCACAGACTGTCTGTAAACGTTTACGAGCTGACAAACTCGTGGTTTAGGACCCGTACCTGCACAGACTGTCTGTAAACGTTTACGAGCTGACAAACTCGTGGTTTAGGACCCGTACCTACACAGACTGACTGTAAACGTTTACGAGCTGACAAACTCGTGGTTTAGGACCCGTACCTGCACAGACTGACTGTAAACGTTTACGAGCTGACAAACTCGTGGTTTAGGACCCGTACCTGCACAGACTGACTGTAAACGTTTACGAGCTGACAAACTCGTGGTTTAGGTCCCGTACCTGAGCAGACTGTCTTTAACGTTTACGAGCTGACAAACTCGTGGTTTAGGACCCGTACCTGCACAGACTGTCTGTAAACGTTTACGAGCTGACAAACTCGTGGTTTAGGTCCCGTACCTGCACAGACTGTCTGTAAACGTTTACGAGCTGACAAACTCGTGGTTTAGGACCCGTACCTGCACAGACTGACTGTAAACGTTTACGAGCTGACAAACTCGTGGTTTAGGACCCGTACCTGCACAGACTGACTGTAAACGTTTACGAGCTGACAAACTCGTGGTTTAGGACCCGTACCTGCACAGACTGACTGTAAACGTTTACGAGCTGACAAACTCGTGGTTTAGGTCCCGTACCTGAGCAGACTGTCTTTAACGTTTACGAGCTGACAAACTCGTGGTTTAGGACCCGTACCTGCACAGACTGTCTGTAAACGTTTACGAGCTGACAAACTCGTGGTTTAGGACCCGTACCCGCACAGACTGTCTGTAAACGTCTACGAGCTGACAAACTCGTGGTTTAGGTCCCGTACCTGCACAGACTGTCTGTAAACGTCTACGAGCTGACAAACTCGTGGTTTAGGACCCGTACCTGCACAGACTGTCTGTAAACGTTTACGAGCTGACAAACTCGTGGTTTAGGACCCGTACCTGCACAGACTGTCTGTAAACGTTTACAAGCTGACAAACTCGTGGTTTAGGACCCGTACCTGCACAGACTATCTGTAAACGTTTACGAGCGGACAAAATCGTGGTTTGGGTCCCGTACCTGCACAGAATGTATGTAAACGTTTACGAGCTGACAAACTCGTGGCACAGACTGACGAGCTTCTAAAATACGAGCAAGAAGGCCCTACGCGGCTGCAGTTGTGTCGATTACATCATCACTGGCTTAAGCAAAGTGAAGAATCCTGTACCTTTCTTTAAAGGGGAGACTGGCGGATTCATGTGTATCGGTGACAGAGTAAGTGTTGTAACGAATGTGGCATACTAGTTAAAAGATTCGGTGGAGATGGTGTCATGGTGTGGAAGCCATCACTTTACGTTGTCCCGGCACTGCAAGCACCAGGCGCCATTTCTCATTATGGCAATGCTCCTCCCCACACAGCGGTAGTCCTCACTGATTTCCTGAGAGCTCATAAACGTACTGCCATGGCCGTTAAGGTTAACCCCGTGGGATGAGCTAGACAGACATTTATGTTAACGTCAACCGTGTCCACAGAATCTGCAGCGATTACGCCATGCTCTGCTGGAAGAATGAGGAACGGGCTGCCATTTAGCAAGGTGTCATGCCCGGGCTTCTTAGTACCATGTGTAAGACATTCAGGTAATCTGCCAAGCAGACGTACCACTATTAAAGTCTATAAAATGACAGATTGAATCACTTGAAAACCACATGTGTTTTTTTCATAAAGTATATAGGAAAATGTGGGAACGAAAATCTTGCTCTTGACCCCTGTCCAATGACTATAACCTACATCCTGTGAATTCTAAACAACAAGAGCTGTAGCTCCTTGAATATTGCTGGACACAATGGAAAGTCTGATGGAGAGGGTCATCCATGACTCCTTATGCATATATCTAATAATGAAGCGGTTCTGCTGGTATCTTCCATTTCTAGTTCCTGTGGGTAAATCCGCGGAAGAGAATTGACCATCGTTGAATTATATTAGACCAGTGAAGATCCAGGGCAGAATAGGTCTTCGGTAACTTATGCTTGCTGTAAAAGGCGATTATGCTTGTTGTAAGAGCCGACTAACGGGATTGGGTGGTCAGGCTCGCTGACTTGGTTGGTGCATGTCATCGATCCCAATTGCGGTGATCGATGCTCATTTTTCACAAATTAATTCCTTACATTCACTCACACACACTCATTCACGCACTTTAAAAACAACACTAAACCATGTTTCAGTCGTATTTTATTAACGAGTGACTTTCACTCATGTTACTGACTGACATCAGATTTCCTTTTCGCAAATGAAGTTCGACGTACTGTACGCGTGACATGGAGCATCGTTCCATAAATAGTAACTATAGGACCGTCTCATTTCCAGACAATGTTCTTTCCCCTTGTAATTATCAGGTTGTCTTGGAGACCAGTTGCTGTAGACCATAGGACGCCGTCCCTCCCACAGCCATCTCCCCTCCAGGTTCAGATCAGTCGCACCAAGCCAATACTTCGCAGCTATAAATAACAAATTAGAACCAATAAAGTTGCACTTTTATTCGACCATATATATATTTGAAAAAGGCGCCATGTCATTACAGTCCAACTTTATAAGAAGGCAGCTGTAAACACTACGCCAAGTGTCGGTATTAAGGTAGTTAGGTACACATGCATTTATATTAATATGTATGTTGCTAAACAGAAAGCAAACGTTTATACAATGTTTCATTTCTGAACTTTAACTTACAACGCCTTCTTGAAATAAGAAATGCATTTCTTTGAAACACTTTCATTTTCGAAACTGTTCCTCAAACAAGACCTAATAAAAGTGTCAGACAACCGCATAACATGTCATAACATTTCAGAGTGATTTAAATGCATTCTGTGAGTAAAGCTCGACTTCAGAGTTTAATTCATGTCTACACTTATTGTGTCGCAAAACCCCACCACTAATATACCAAATTTTATTTTGACAATAGATGTCATCAAATGCCCTAAATGTTTAAATATGGCGGATAAATTAAAAACGATCTCACAATTTATGAGTGTCAGATGTTTACAGACTCCGACGTTGACCACAATGACGAAAAGTATATATCAGATATCAATGAGTTCCAAACATTTCACCTTTGCCTGTTCTTTTGGCATAACTTCTTAGGAAGTCGTCCTCATCTTTGTTATTTATCCTTACGAGATGGCT